CGGCATATTGCGCGGGCGGGTTTCGGGCCGCCCACGGGCCACGGGCCAATTTTACACTCCTATCAATGTGAATGTTAATATGTCAATGTGAATATTCACAATTTCAACGGGCCGGACCGAGCTCGCCCCGCGCCGCCCACGGGCTTCGTGCCGCCCATGGGACGCGAGTCAATTTTACACTCTTATCAATGTGAATGTTAACATGTCAATGTGTATATTTACATTGTCAACAGGCCGGGTCGGACCCACCCCGGGCCGCCCACGAGCTGTGGGCTAGTTTCGAGCAGCCACGGGCGCGGGCTACTTTTATACTCTTATCAATGTGAATGTTAACATGTTAATGTGAATATTCACATTATCAACGGGTCAGGCCGGGCCCACCTAGGGCAGCCCACGAGTCGCGGGCGGGTTTCGAGCCGGCCACAGGCCGTGGGCTAATTTTACGCTCCTATCAATGTGAATGTTAACATATCAATGTGAAAATTCACATTGTCAACGGGCCGGGCCGGGCCCGCCCCGACCTGGGCCCGATCTTCGGGCTGCCCACGGGTCATGGGCCAATTTTACACTTTTGTCAATGTTATTGTTAATGTTAATATGTCAATGTGAATATTCACATTGTGAACGGGCCGGTCCGGGCCCGCCCCGGGCGGCGGGCTGGTTTCGGGTCGTCCACGGGCCGTAGGCCAATTTTACACTCCTATCAATGTGAATGTTAACTTGTCAATGTGAATATTCATATTATCAACAGGCCGAGCCGGGCCTATTTTTTTGGCCTGTGGGCCGGCCCGGCCCGACTCATTGGAGCGCTTCCAATTGTGATTAAAAAGACCACGGGCACAAACCATAAATCAATCCACTAAGAAGACATAAAAGAATTACAAAAGTGTACTAAGGGTATTTTGGTAATTATGTCACCCATAGGACTTATTGAAATATAAGAAAATAATGTGAACTAAATGGAATATAAGTAGATGAAAAAGGTATTTTGGTCTTCTTATCTCAAATTGGACCTAATGGAATAGTCAAAAAGAATATGGGTTGGATGGGATAAAACTCTTAGAAAATGGATTTATCAAAAAAGCTCCAATTTTTCATTAATTCAGTTAAAATTGTAAAATATTTGATATTGTCCATGCCATCTATTTTTTTATTAATAGAATAATAATTATTCTTATAATATACTACTTCGTACTGACAATTCACAGAAAAAATAAGTTACTCTTGAAATACCGTCACATGGTGTTCAAACTAAAATCATTAACAATACCTATTTTTATATCGTTAATCTCCATTCACTTGAACATTGCAAATAAAATTGTTTATAAAAAATAATTATAAAAAGTTTTACAGTACATTTGACTCCTTAATATAATTTTGTATTTTTTTATGCTAATAGTAACAACTATTAAATATATCACACCTTTCTGAATACTACCCACATAATTAATAAAATTTTCAAATTTTTTCACCTAAAAAAATAAGTGGAAAATATTTTATTATAATTTTTACATATATTATTTTTTTTAGAATTATGCCATAATAATATCTTAAAACAATGATTAATGTTTGGCTCCTCTGTGTTATTCACATTGGTAACCATTGATTAAAGCGCTAAGTACGTGGGTGAACTGATCCCATCAATTCAAGAAAAGTAATTACGCATAAATAATGTGTTAATAGGTTTTTTGATAGAATTTTTCATGTGACTCGGTTGAACTAATAAAAAAATATGTAAAAAATAAGATTTTATAGATAAATTGAGTTTTTTTATTAATCATTTGAAGTAATTTAT